ATCCATTCAAAAAACGTGACTTATTTTGGACTGTGGAAACTGGTTTGGATTAAAACAAGATAAAAGTGATTCAGATCAGCCGTTCAATTATGCAAAAATGCACTCTAAATGATGCTGGGTTGTTGTTAAAATATGGACAAACCCAAATGTTGGGTTAAAATGCAATTAAAAAATGTACAGTTGAAAGTTGGGTTAAAATTTTAAATTATATTTTTAACCCAACATTTGGGTTTGTCCATACTATTTTACCCAAGGTTGGGTTCAAACAACCCAGCATTGTTTAGAGTGTGCTTAATTTAGAGACTAATTGTCAAATTATGGAGACAAGAGAAGGTCAGAGGTCATCATACAGCAGAAAATAAACCTGTGTTTGTGTTTGTGTGAGTCATGATGAAGCGAAAGTGAATTTTGGTCACGGGATCGTCCTGTATTTCCTTATGTGTAATTACAGCAGAAAATACATTGCATGTTCCCCATTCATCATCACTGAGTCATCAACATGAGCCTGACACCACACACGCACACGCACACACACACACAAACTAATGCTTGAGAAGTGAGATATACAGAACAACAACAGTCTGGTTCAGGAAGCAAAAAAATTCCCTGTATTTTGCATAACAAATGAATCTTTCAAAACAGAGAAACGAGTTCTCGGGGATAAACGCCGATGTTTGCTTTTGCAGAAGCCAAAATCATCATTATTATGCATTATTAGCATTAATGTTGTTTTTAAAAATCATGTTTAATTGCAGAATTTATTGTATGATTTGAATTGTTCAAATACTTTTTCACTTCAAATCAAAGATTGCAATATTATCATTTATATTATAAAACTTTTTTTAATGCCATTGAATTGGAAAAAATTCAGGGAGAAATAGTTTGAAGCAAAAATGCAAAAAATAAATAAATAATAATAATAGATTTATATTTTACCAGATATTGGTTTAGAAAAATAGCATGATTTTCTTAAGATAAATTTATATACAATTTACTCTGATTTATTTATTTATTAATTATTTTATTTTTATTTATTTTTTAAATTTTATTTACACCTTAGAATTAGAACAACAAAAAAGGACAATGATAATAATAACAATAAAATATATAAACAAAAAATAAGATAAATATTATAAATTTAAGGATGTGCAGGAAGAGGCAAAAAAAACAGTTTTTTTTTAAATTTACTGTTTAAAATAAACTTAAACAGTAAAATTAAAATAAACTAAATTTACTGTTTAGTTTATTTTAATTTCCCATTTACATAAGCTTGTTTCTGCCACAGAATAAAAAATAAAAAAGGTAATTTAAAAAATAGCATGTTTTAAACTTTAAACTAAATCTTTAAAAAAAAAAGTTATTCTGTGGCGGAAACAAGCTTCGATACATAACTTATTTCTTCATAGAGAGTAAAATATACATTAAAAAACACATATCTAAAACACTGTCCTGATATCAGCAAGAAATACATTGACAATATGCCTATTTAATGAAGATTCAAAGCAGTGTTTGTATATTTTGTGTAATAGGGGAACTATCTGCAATGCCAGAACGCATCATAATAACATGAATATCTACTTTACAGGATTAATCCAAAATAATTTCTTTGTATATTAAGTTACTTTTCACTTACAGGTAGCCTGTTTTTACTCCAGAATCAGCATGCACAAATCACACACACACACACTCTCTCTCTCTCTCTCTCTCTCTCTCTCTCTCTCTCTCACACACACACACACACACACACACAATAAGCTTGTTCCTTATGCTCTACACTTCCTGACACATTGAGATCATCTGTCTAGTTCAGTTGTCTGTGGAGTAGCACATGGCTGCGCGTGCACATCGCCTAATTGCGAACTAGTCTCCATATAAATATATGTAAAATTGCGCTAAAAATATCTAATGCTGCAGCATGAGGTCTCGTGGAGTCGACATGATGTGCTCAAGGGCCCGAAACGGAGAGATTGAGAGGGAGAAAGAAAGAGGTTGCATCTGCCACACCTCACTCATTCACAAACACGGCGGCTCACTGTACGACAGAATCAGATTTAAAATCCCACAACACATGTGCAGTCTGAGCCATTTATAGTCCAAACGCATCGCAAACGCCACAGTGCGTCAAGAGCGCGTCTCAAAAAATAGCCAGCAGCGATCACTGAACAATAGTAAACACGCGAATGCTCGTCCGAGTCATTAAAGAGAATCGGTTCATTTGAACAGTTCACGTCAATGATTCTCTTAAAACGTTTCTGTGATTCGTTTTAAAATATAGTGTTATATTAAGCGTAACAGACAAAGCCAGCTCGTGTTGTTACGTTTGTCACAATTACTGTTTATTCAAGCTCAAGTTTGGTCGTTAAAAATACAAACGTGAGAATGTAACGTACTTTGATTAGGAGCCAATACTAGTTTTAACCAAAAATATGAACTAGGAAAGATTTCACAACGTGTATGGACATTTTTGCTTGATTTTTGCACTGGTACGTTCATCAACAACAACACAAAGGCTGCGTTCCAAACCGCATACTTCCCTACTATTTAGTATGGGAAAAAGAGTAGGCGAGCAAAAAAGTATGAATGAATCCAAAAGAGTAGGCGAGAATTACCTGGGTGACGTAGCAATTGTCGCGAGATTCGGACTTAAGTGCGTTCCAATATGCCTACTTTCCTACTATATAGTAGGCGAAAACAGTACGTGAAGGAAGCAGTACGTTCCAAACATCAGTTTTCATAAAAAGAGTAGGCGAGAAGTTCCCGGATGGCTTACTGCTTCCGCCCAGATTTTTGAGTGCTTTTCCACGGCTACTCATGATACTCATCTATCCCAGGAGGCCACGCGAGAGGATACGTCAATATCAACATCGCGGAGATAAGCGACGCGGGGGTTTTCAAATGTGAGTAAATACGGTTTAAATCGTATGTGTTAAACTACTATAGAGTAAACGTTTTAACTGTTGAACGTCTAAAGGAGTTAGACAGTATAGTATAGTTGTGATTTTGCTGTAAACACGTTTTATTATGTATTGATAACAGGGGAGCTCCAGTAACCGTAAAGTTACGTTTCCAACGTGTATTTACATAACCATACATCTTAAAAACGCTTATTTAAAATGTCTATTTACATCAGGAAGGAAAATATTGTATAAGTATTGCAGGTGAGCACATCCCAACATGAAAAATACATGTGTGTGCTATTATGTAGGATAATTCACTGTTGTCAACACTGCTTACATTAGAAAAATTATGTGCTGTGAATAAAAACATATATAAAGTAACTAAACATGATATATATTTAATTTGTCCCTTATTGGTGTTGATATATTGAGGAACATTTAAGTTGGATTAAAAGTGAGTTAACACATCAACCTCAACATGTAAATGCAGTGTTGAGCTCGTAATGTGAATCTTGTCTGCATGTTACAGGGACAGGAGAACACGCGTCTGTTTATCCGGTGGAGAGAGGCTCATGATGCTGAATGCTGTCATCAATGAATGGGAACCGCTGTGTTGAGTCGGCAGTAGGGTTTGGGGTTCAGTGCCTGTAAATACATGCTTGTAGTTTGAATAAAGCTGTTTCATGTGTTGACTTGTATATGCATTTGTTTATTGTGATGGTTACTTTTATTTACTTTTATTTGTTCTTTTACTCATTTATTCATGTTTCTTATTGTTGTCAGTATATAAAATGTAATTAATTTATGCATTAATTCATCGATTGACTGACAATTGAGATGTTTCACTGCATTTAGCAATATAAATGAATTCATGCATTACTGTCATATTACAAAACAAATTACATTTTGCTTGTTTTATTAAATTATATTTTTAGTATATAAAAAGTTATATAAGTATTGGTCAGCATTTAATATTATTATTTTGTTTAAGTTTTGGGGTGGGCTAACAATGAAATTCATTCTGAGGTAATATTAATTTTTAAGCAGTGATACTTACATTTTTGGAGTATAAAATCAACAGTTTTCTCCAAAAGAGATCTTCAAGCAGCTGCCCGTCTCCTTTGTGCAGACATTACAAACGCTGTTCTAGGTTGTGCTGTGAAGTTACTGATGTTATGAAGTGTTAGAGCACCTGTCGCTCATATAATTTAAACGTATTATATGCAAGATCATGGAAAGATACTATAGTTTATGTAACAATCATAGTGACAAAACAGAAAATATAAAGATCATTGGTTTGTGTACATAATATGACATAAAATTATATTTATACACAGGAAATAAGAACAATAAAAAAGGCTAAATATCTTCATTATAGTTCTTCATAATACATAAAAAAGTTGTTATATCTGAGGGATGAAACGAGGTAAATTCATGAAGAAAAAGGAAAACTTAAAGGAGAAACTTTTTGGGTATAAAATAAAGAAATTAACAACATAATCAAGAGATGATGATTTTGGGGTTTCTTAATAAAAAAAATGTATCGTTAGAATAACACTGTTGGTCAGTAGGGTTTAAAATATAACAACTTAAATCAACCCTAAATGTATTCACAAAATAAATAGGCAGCTGTTTCTTCAACAATACCACAACAAAATGAGCAAGTTTCATCAATATCAAGATATTTATAGGTAGATTAATTAAACGTATCGTTCATATTTTTTTTTTATTGCATGAAGGTGTTGCGCTTGTGATAACGCGTAGTAGGTCACATGATAACGTCAACATGGCAGATGTCCGGTTCGCATTCATACTCAACGAGATTTGGCTATAAAGTACCTACTCTTTTAGCGCTCGATGAGTAAGTACTTATTGAAATTAAGTACCTACTCATTGAGTATGCGGTTTGGAACGCAGCCAAACACACACATACACCAATTGATCTGCTAACTCGAATCGCTACAGACAGAATCGATTCATATGAACGAATCGTTTACGAACTGGACATCACTACAACCATCCCCAATCAGTGTTTAAACAATCATGATGTGACCACTATGACATTCAGACTAAAAACAGAAACGTTTATCCTGAACAACTCACAAAATCAATCCGTCCGACGCGAAGTCCAAGATGACCTAACGTACTCCGCTCAGAAAGACTGTTTCCTCAATCCAATGTGTTGAACAGATTTGTCCAAATCCATACCGGTCATCTGATTCCAGACAGAACAAGTCATGTGTGTGTATCTAGTAAACAAAGAAGAAGAAAAAAGGACAATCTTTTGTTGGTTCTCCCGTTTAATCTTAATCCGATTTGAATCTTCCTCACCGTCCGTCTGTCCGAACAGCGGCGAGCGCGAGCGCACAATGGAAATGAATCTAAACCCTTTAAAATACACCGAATCTCTGAAAATGGTTCACAAACACATGTCTAATGAATGAACGAGCACGCAGAAGAACAACGGAGACAGCTGCACCCACCTCGTGGTTTGAAAGGACACCGGTCCGGTCCGGTTCGCGAGATGTGTGTGGACCGGTCCGGTCCAGAGATGGAGAGCCAGCCCGGGGATGAAGGAGCAGGTGAACAGGGCTGATTCGGACGGGAGGGATAAGTGTGTGTGGATGATGTTTGGGATGTGTGTGTGTGCTGGATGCTGTCAGGATAGGGACCAGTTTAATCCTCCATCTGAACGCTCTCCTCGGCCACCCCTCCCTCATCGCTCCTCAGTGATGTCCGAATCACTTTTTTGAAAGGGTTCTTTGTACTGATTCGGTTGAACCGATTCGCAGCGCAGACTGTGATGACGCGTTTTAACGGTCATCAGCATCGTAAATTAAATGTTTTTCATATTTAAAAAAAATGTATTTACATTTTAGGATACTTTATATAACATTACATTTGTATCAAATAAAATGTTTTATTTAAGTTAACGATGCTGTGAGGGTGAGTGTTTTTTGCATCGTAAATAAAAGTTTTCGTGTTATTTGTTATTTTCTCCTATGACAAATCTAATCAAAAGGAATATTACTTAGTTAATCTGATACTTCTTTTGGCTAAATTTAGTATTCATAAATGTACATTTGGAGGAAATAAGCCTTCTTTAATTTATTTTTAAGGTCAGGAATTCAACAATAGCCTACCTAAACACGTTTTGTTTAAAAAATAAGAAAGCAGCAAAGTGTGTTTCAATTTGTAAACATTTTCACATTTTTATTTAACTTATATATATATAGGCTATTTGTCTTTTCTTTGTTTGTTTACTCATGTTCTTGACTCTTGCTAAGTCTTTAAAACCTATGCACAAATTATTATTTTTTTTATGTATGTACATTTATAACACTATATTTTGTATTATTTTACCTTTGTATCAAATTATTAAAAAAACAAACAACAACAAAAAGTTAGCCTAATCCTGCAGGTAAGTGAGATAACATCAAACAAATTGTGTGAAGGTCGAAAATACAATTAAAATGCAGGAGCCAGCAGTATTTAATTCGAAAAATAGAAAAATTAATTAAAACATTTACAGCAAAAAGATAAACGGATTAGTTTGGATTGAATGGGCAGAAGTTGAACTGCATCATTGTGTCAATATAAAGACTTATTGACGAATGAAACACTTACTGAGTGAACATTAAAAGTTTGAGGGCGACTTTAGGCCATATGTAGAGATTACATATTACAATTTAGTTGCTGAGTTGTTTTAAATAAATCTAACAAGTTTGCTGAGGCGAATTTGAGAAACGTTAGATAGAGAAGTTGCTAGTCAATAGACAAGCTGTGCTGAGTTCGTGTAAATTAGAAAAGCTCTATTTTAGTCGTGGGATTTACCCTACAATTGTGTCACATAAACATAACTAAATATGTACTTGATCAAGTAAAAAGACGACGACTGTGAACACTTCAGAGTGACGCGTGTAATGAATCGACTGATCGAGCTTTGAATCGCCTGAACCGAAGTGTCCGACCGACTCTGAACGAACCGATTCGCTAAAAGGAATCAGACTTCTACACGCTATATCATCCCTCAATCCGATGCCTTCTGTTCCTCACACACACACACACACACACACACAGCCGTCTGCCCCCCTGGGGTCCTTCGCAAGGTCAGTCATGTTAGAAAAGAAGGAAATGAACGACTAGAGAGTAAATTGGACGAAACTACAAGTGTAAAATGCACGACATATTATTTGTTAAAGCCAAAAGTCTCCTTTAATAAACACATTTTTCGGCACGATACTAGCCTAATGTTTCTTAATCAACTTCCATATGTAAAGGTCAACCTACATGCTTAATATCAGATCATTTCATTCATCATTCATATTGTACAAAAGAGCCTCGGTGTCCTTACATGGGCAGTTGCTACAAACCGGAAGTGTGCCGTCAGCCCACATGACCGGAACTCTATCACATGATCAGTGTTTTCAAAGAAAACTTGTATTCATTCACTCTTCGCTTTATTACTGTAAGTAGCAGACTTTATTACCCGTTATATATCCATAACCATTATTCGATATCTAAAGGCATTTTAAACGCAGCTGGTCGTAAATAAAGCGATGCCATGAGTGTATACGTTTAAAAGCAAACTGTGATATGAGATAATAGAGCTACTATATTAAAAGCAATTGTGCATCGTGTATGTTTTGCTCCTGGATTTGGTCTTTGCTCGATCATCATCTGGACTGGGCAGTGCTGGTCAATAAAGTATTGATGTGTCTGTCTTATATTCAGAGTCTCCTGCTGGTCTGCATCAGTGAGGGGTCATCATGAGACTGGTGATTCTGGACGATTATGATCTGGCCAGCGAATGGGCTGCCAAATACATCCGGAACCGGATCATCCACTTCAAGCCCAGTGCTGACCGCTACTTCACTTTAGGACTTCCAACAGGTAAACTACATCACCAGAACATATGAATATCTGTCATGATGAATATGACCTGAACATTTGTGAAATCAAAATCGACTTTGTTTACTTTCTTGCACATTCCTCCCAGCCTTATTAGGCACGTTGTCTTCTTAATATTTCATCAAAATGTAATAAATTGCTCTGTTTGTGACCTGGACTCAATGCCCTCTTTTCACAATCCAGTCAATTCCCGATGGATTCACTCTGAAACATATCAGAATGGGGGAAGATTATGATTATTCTATGATTATATAGATTATTATTAGTGCTGATGATTGCATCTTATATAAAAGTTTGCAAATGTTTACTATTTGTGTGTATCATATCTCACTCACACACACACTAATCACATCTAACATAACACGTGATTAATCGCATCGAACATAAAAGTTTTTCAATATACAAACTTTTATGTTAGTTGCGATTAGTCGATGTGACAGCACTAATATTATCCTAATAATTAATATGCTATAATGTGATTAATTGCAGGGAGCACACCCCTCGGCTGCTATAAGAAGCTGATCGAGTATCACAAGAGCGGAGACCTGTCCTTCAAATACGTCAAAACCTTTAACATGGATGAGTATGTGGGTGAGTGTGAATCGCATAGATCGCTTCTCTGGAGAACTGCTGAGTGTGTGTGTGTGTGTGTGTGTGTGAGAGAGTGTGTCAGCAGAAGTATGCTCTGTCCTCATCCCTTTCTATGTCAGAATCTGCAAGAAGACATTTATTAAACATTACACTACTCTTATTATATGCGTACTGTGAGCTCACACACTATATAGTAGGGAAGCATGTGATTTGGGACGCAGCCTCTATTTGCATTGTGACTGTTTCATGACTAAAGTCTCTTTATCATTAGAGGTTTTATATTGGCATATAAATCGGAATCCAAATTTGTATATACTTTTTGAGAGCCTGATAACAAAAATAAAAGTCTCACCATTAAAAGCCGATATGACAGACTTAACTGTTGCACTGAACTGTATTTTCCTTTTTTGAAGTGATTCTAATCATATTTTAATCAATTGAAAAACTTTATGTTGAACTGAAGGAAGGAATAGGAAATAATACATCATTTAATAATGGATTATTTAATATATCCGCTAATTAAAAAAAATAGCTTTCATATATTGGCCAAATTTAAATATATCGGGCAAATTTAATATATCAGCTTTAATATATTGGCCAAATTGAATATATCGGCAAAATTTAATATAGCGGCTTTCATATGTCAGCCAAATTGAATATATCGGCCAAATATTATATATCGGCCAACTTTAGCATATCGGCTTTAATATATCGGCCAAATTTAGTATAAATCGGCTTTAATATATCGGCCAAATTTAATATAAATCGGCTTTAATATATCGGTCAAATTTTATATATCAGCCAAATTTAATATATATACTTTAATGTATCGACCAAATTTTATAAATCGGCCAAATTTAATATATCGGCTTTTATATATCGGCCAAATTTAATATATATTGGTCAAATTTTATATATTGGCCAACTTTAATATATCAGCTTTAATATATGAGATAAATTTTATATATCGGCCAACTTTAATATATCAGCTTTAATATATGAGATAAATTTTATATATCAGCCAACTTTAATATATCGGCTTTAATATATCAGCCAAATTTTATATATCAGACAAATTTTATATATCGGCCAACTTTAATATATCGGCTTTAATATATCGGCCAAATTTTATATATCAGACAAATTTTATATATCAACTTTAATGTATCGACCAAATTTTATATATCGGCTTTAATATATCGGCCAACTTTAATATGTCGGCTTTAATATATCGGCCACATTTTATATATCAGCCAAATTTAATATATCAACTTTAATGTATCGACCAAATTTTATAAATCGGCCAAATTGAATATATCGGCTTTCATATATTGGCCAAATTGAATATATCTGCCTTAATATATCGGCCAAATTGAATATATATCGGTCAAATTTGATATATCGGCCAACTTTAATATATCAGCTTAAATATATGAGATAAATTTGATATATCGGCCAACTTTAATATATCGGCTTTAATATAACAGCCAAATTTTATATATTGGTTTTAATATATCGGCCAAATTGAATATATTAGACAAATTTAATATACTGGCTTTAATATATCGCCCAAATTTTATATATCGGCTTTAATATATCGGCCAACTTTAATATGTCGGCTTTAATATATTGGCCAAATTGAATATATCGGCCAACTTTAATATGTCGGATTTAATATATCGGCCAAATTTTATTATCGGGCAGATAACGATAATATTAAAAGTGAACATATCGGCCGATACCGATATGGTGGCCGATATATTGTGCGACCCTGATTACTGTTAGGTTAGGGCTCGGGTTAGTAGAATAAAAGTTGACATGTATTTGCGAAGTGACGTACAGTCAGTAGATTGTCTAAAAGTGGACCATCACATTTGTTCCTGAATAACTCCTGGTGTCCAGGCCTGCCCAGGGATCATCCCGAGAGCTATCACTCCTACATGTGGAATAACTTCTTCAAGCACGTGGACGTCGAGCCGCACAACACTCATATCCTGGACGGGAACGCCAGCGACCTGCAGGCCGAGTGCGAAGCCTTCGAGCAGAAGATCGGGGCCGCGGGAGGAATCGAGCTGTTTGTGGGAGGTGTGTCAATAAATCTGACTCAAGAACGCTTTATCAGACGCTGGAATACACTTCTAAATCTGCACACACAAAACTGGCTCTTTAAACAGTTTAGCCGCTGCAATAACAAACACATTTAATCAATAAGAATGATTCCAAATGCTGGATTACGCAACTCAATGTCTTAAAGGGACAGTACACCTGAAAACGTATATTCTGTCATCATTTAGTTGTTCTAAACCTGTATAAGTTTCTTTTGTTGAACACAAAAAAAGAAGCTGTTTTGAAGAATGCCGGTAACCAAACAGTTGAGGGACTTCCATAGTATGAAATGAAAATACGGTCAATAGGGACCAGAAACTATTTGGTTACAGACATTCTTCAAAATATCGTCTGTCCCTTTAAGTCCTGAGCTTGCTGTAGCAATAATTGATTTTATATTTGTATCTGATCCAAATTTTGTGCAAATTTAGTGTTATTTCAGCATTATTAGTACTTTTTATTGGGAACACTATACAATAAGGTTTAATTCGTTAACATTAGTTAGTTACATTAGTTAACATGAACTAACGATAAAAAAAATGAATGCAATACAGGATTTATTAATCTTAAATTATGTTAATTGCTACATTTACAATCAAAAAATTTATCTGTTAACTGATGAATTTAAAAACGGATAATTTTACTTGTTTATTTATTCAATCTCAATTATACTAAAATAACATTGGTTTAAGTTTTATAAGTATAAAAAGTTATTTTCATGCAAAGCTGCAGTAAAATACTAAATATTACATGAAAAAAAAAACCGTTTTCTTAACAAAATGATGTTATTTTTATATCATTGAGAGATGCTAAACATTTTTAATCAGTTTTTATTTTTATATTTTCCATTTTAATTATTTTAAAATAATTTTAGTTTTAGTTAACAATAACAACACTGAATGATAAATTTATGAAAAATATGATAAATTTATGATAAATTTCATTTTATATTTTCAATAAAAAGGATTTTAAAAGAAATCATATTTACCACAGAAAATGAACATTTTCCATGAAAAATAAGCGCGTTGTCATGACGTGTCTGTGAGTTTTCACTGTTCATTCAATTTCACTCACTGTTTTATCACTTATTTAACTTTATCAGTTAATCTTTTACCAGTCCTGTCTTTTGTTGTTTTCTTCAGGCATCGGTCCAGACGGACACATCGCCTTCAATGAGCCCGGCTCCAGTCTGGTGTCCAGGACCCGAGTGAAGACACTGGCCAAGGACACCATAGTGGCCAACGCCCGTTTCTTCGGGAACGATCTCTCCAAAGTTCCCAGCATGACCCTCACCGTCGGAGTGGGAACGGTGATGGACGCCAGAGAGGTGAATCACACACACGTGTCTACAACAGGAACATGAACGTAGAACACACACATCTTTTGTCCCAGTCAGATACGCTTTTGTTTGGAGCGTTTGTCATGTGCAATTCATAGATATAATTATCTTTTATAATGTAGTTACAAATGTTCTCTTTGTTATAGCTATAAACTGAACATGTGTCAATAAGAGACTGGAAATACATACACACTTTAACAGAGAGGATGCTGGGTAAAGTGTCCTTCGGGTCTCTTGGTTTTGTTGGCTTGGATGCCAGACACATTACAGCATCTCCTATAAACACACGGACCATATTTTACTCCAAAAAAATCATATTATAATCAATTATTGTTTGTGTAAAGAAGTTCATTTTTTGGCCCATTAAGATTTCTGGCATTGTGACATTATTTTCCCAAATTCTGTTATATATATATATATATATATATATATATTAATATTATTATTATTAAATTCAGTACAACAAATACAACTAATTATTTATACTTAGTTTATGTTACATATACTTAACAATTTGAAGAATAATATTAATTATGTTATAATTATTATTAAATAACAAATATTTAGGGGGGGTCTGTTCTCATTACTATAATCGTAATACTTATTATTAATAAAAGTCTTGTTATTATTACTGTAATTAGCATAATTTGATAATAATAATAATTATTATTATGATGAAGAAATATTTGGGTCATGAGTCAAAGCTAAATCAAAGGAAAATATATATATTTGTATATATATAAGTATTATTATTATTACAGTAATAATCATAATATTAATAGTAATTATGAAGTAATGTTTGGGTCATGATTTAACCCTAAATCAAAGGAGACATATATTGTCATTACAATAATAATATTTGTGACATTTAACAATAATAATTTTTATTTTAATTGTAATTATTAATTCAATAATTAGATTAATAATATGTAATAATAAAATATTAATTATTATCATCATCATTACAGTAATGACTCATAATTTTTCCATTTAATTTAGAGTTAAATCATGACCCGAGCATTTCTTCTTCATAATAATAATTATTATTATCCTAATTACTGTAGTAATAATATATATGATGGTTTAAATCATGACCTGATCATTTCTTGAAGCGATGCACAGTTGGAGCCTCGCTGGAGTGTGTTTCCAGCAGAAGTGTAATGATGAATGCGTGACGTCTCCTCCTCAGGTCATGATTGTGATCACTGGAGCTCATAAGGCCTTCGCTCTGTATAAAGCCATCGAGGAGGGCGTGAACCACATGTGGACGGTGTCTGCCTTCCAGCAACATCCACGAACCATATTCATCTGCGATGAGGACGCCACGCTGGAGCTCAGGGTCAAGACCGTCAAGTATTTTAAAGGTATTTAAAAGCCTCGGGTCAAATTTTGACTCGCGCTCACAGAAAGTTGCTTCAAGATCAAAGAAACAGCAGTTTAACTGAATAAAAAGTTTTTATCAAGCGTTGAAAGGTAAACCAGTAACATGCTCATCCAGATTTACCAGTTCTGTTGCTAAAGGTTCTATTTCAAACCGGATTAAGAGAAACCGGTCAAGACAAACTTTGAAGTTGGGTTGAGAAAGCAAGTATGAAAAAGCCAATACAGTCTATCAGAAAAACAGATGGAGGGATAAATGGATATATAAATAGATAGATGGATGGATAGATAGATAAATGGATGGATGGACGGGTAGATGGGTGGATAGATGGATGATGGCTAGATAAATGAATGAATGGATGGATGGATGGATGGATATATAAATGGATGGATGGATTGATGGGTAGATAGATAGATGGATAAATGGATAGATAGATGAATGGATGTATATATAGGTAGAGGGATAGATAGATAAATAGATGGATGGATGGATAAATGGGTGGATGGATAAATGGGTGGATGGATGGATGCATGGATGGATGGATGGATGGATGGATGGATGGATAAATGGGTGGATGGATGGATGCATGGATGGGTAGATGGATGGATGGATAGATAAATGGATGGATGGATGCATGGGTAGATAGATGGATGGATGGATAGATAGATAAATGGATGGATGCATGGATGGATGGATGGATGGATGGATAAATGGGTGGATGGATGGATGCATGGATGGGTAGATGGATATATGGATAGATAAATAGATGGATGCATGGATGGGTAGATGGATGGATGGATAGATAAATGGATGGATGCATGGATGGGTAGATGGATGGATGGATAGATAAATGGATGGATGGATGGATGGATACATAGATAAATGGATGGATGCATGGATGGATACATAAATGGATGGATGGATGGATGCGGGTAGATGGATGATGGATAAATGGGTGGATGGATGGATAGATAGATAAATGGATGGATAGATATATAGACAGATTTATCATAATAACATCACTGACCTGAAACGTATAAGTGACTGAGAGCAGTTACAGCGGTTGAGGTGAAGAGTGTAACTCCAGCTGTTCCTCTGGTGCGGCTCGTCCTCTTTCTCTCCGAGAGCCGCTGTTTGAGTTCAGCGTCTCGAGGTCAGTGTGTGTGTGTGTGTGAGACGGCCGGTCGGTCTGGAATGTGTTTCTCTCTGAAACTCAATCTGTGGCTCTTAAAGGCTCAGTCTCTCCCGAGGGTTTAATATCTGCGGTTTCCTGCCGATCTTCTGCTCCTCAGGCCTGATGCACGTCCACAACCAGCTGGTGGAGCCCACGCTCAGCGTCCGGGACTACAGCGACTGAACACAGCAGTGTGTGGACCAGGGGTCAAGGAGTGTGTGTCGATGTAAAGCTTTCCCAAGATAACGTGTTTATACACTCCAATCGAGCGAGTCTCCATATCAGCTTCAGTACTCCACTTTAAGGCCAGTATTCACATGAAAAGGGAGGTGTGTGTGTGAGAGAGTTATTGTGAGAGAGTGAGTGTGTGTGTGCTCAGAAACACTCTTACTTTAATCCTCTCAGCCAATGTTTATAACACAGTCACACTCTTTGACATCACTAACGTGAAAAACGCTTTCTTTCTTCATTCTGAGATGAGCATATACATCATTTCCTCTGGACTGGAGTTTAATCCGGAAACACTGAAGCTCAGCATTTCAAGCCAAACGTCTGTTTTCATGGACTAGGTCATTTTTTTAATAACACAAGCTACTTAAAGTTACCTTGAATGTGGGATTTAACTCCAAGACGACTTCGGGAAAGTGTGTTTTGTAATATTTCTGGTTAGATGTTACATAAATAAATTAGTGCTGTCAAACCAATCAGTTGCATCTAAAAAGTTTGTATATGTATATACACACACACACAGAGACAACCCCACAGACACAAACTCACAAAAACACACATACACATATATATACGCACACAAACTGTTATGTTAGATGTGATTATTCAGTTTGACAGCACTAAATAAATACACTTTAAAGTCTTTTGAATTGTCCAGATGTGTTGGTGTTTGTTGCTCTACATATGAGCATTAAGGGTTAATGAGACCCACAATCATAGTGTCTCATATCCTGATAATCATCTACAGGCTGATCTGTGATCAGATTTACAAAAAAGTCTTACTTCAATGTCATTTTTATAAGATTTCAAGCACATTTTCTTGCCTTTTGAATTAGTCACTAGCAGAAGTGAGAATGCTGGGAAAGTGTATTTCCTCTTGTTTGCTTATTCATGTTGCCATATCGGAGTAGAGAAGTGTGTTTTTGAAGTTCACTAATTTTACACACGACGTACTTATATATTCTCTTCAGTTGCTGTACTTTGCTTTATATTATGTAAAAATATAAAATAAGTTACGAGTCATTGTGCTTGTATTGTAAAACACACCGTAGTTTCATCTGATACTGTTTCTGTACTTCACTGTAATGTTCATGGGAAGGAGAGCATGTAACAAATTTATTTCCATTTAACTGTTAAATGAACTGACGGTTAACAGATTTGCACTCCAAAAGCCAAATCATTCTCTGATGTGTTTGTGTGCTTGATCTTAGATGGATGAATCAAATAAACAAAGTTTCATATATTGTCACTTAATAGTACAGTTTATATTTGTACGGACAGGATGAATGTTGCCCAGGTCATATATTCATGTATCTATTCGACACCCACACACACACATATATTAGAGATGCATGATATATTGGTATCAGCTGATATATGTTTATTTTGAATGTTAAAAATATTATTTAATGTGATGTTTTTGAACTGGTGGAAATATGATTAGAATCACTCAAAAACATCAATTATAATGAGAACATTATCATGGTGAGACTTTTGTTTTTGTTATCAGGCTCTCAAAAATTATATAAAAATTTGGTTTTAGATTTATCAGCCAATATATCGGTTATCGGCTTTCAAATATAAAGAATTATCGGTATCGGGCAATATATCGTTATCGGCTTTCAAATATAAAGAATTATCGGTATCGGCCAATATATCGGTTATCGGCTTTCAAATATAAAGAATTATCTCTATTGGCCAATATATCGGTTATCGGCTTTCAAATATAAAGAATTATCGGTATCGGGCAATATATCGGTTATCAGCTTTCATATTTAAAGAATTATCGGTATCAGCCTATATCTGTTATCGGCTTTCAAATATAAAGAATTAGCGGTATCGGCCAATATATCGGTTATCGGCTTTCAAATATAAAGAATTATCTGTATTGGCCAATATATCGGTTATCGGCTTTCAAATATATAGAATTATCGGTATCGGCCAATATATCGGTTATCAGCTTTCATATATAAAGAATTATCGGTATCAGCCTATATCTGTTATCGGCTTTCAAATATAAAGAATTATCGGTATTGGCCAATATATCGGTTATCGGCTTTCAAATATAAAGAATTATCGGTATCGGGCAATATATCGGTTATCAGCTTTCATATTTAAAGAATAATCGGTATCAGCCTATATCTGTTATCGGCTTTCAAATATAAAGAATTATCGTATCGGCCAATATATCGGTTATCGGCTTTCAAATATAAAGAATTATCCGTATCGGCCAATATACCGGTTATCGGCTTTCAAATATAAAGAATTATCGGTATCGGCCTATATCTGTTATCGGCTTTCAAATATAAAGAATTATCCGTATCGGCCAATATATCGGTTATCGGCTTTCATATATAAAGAATTATCGGTATCAGCCTATATCTGTTATCGGCTTTCAAATATAAAGAATTATCGGTATCGGGCAATATATCGGTTATCGGCTTTCAAATATAAAGAATTATCGGTATCGGCCAATATATCGGTTATCGGCTTTCAAATATAAAGAATTATCCGTATCGGCCAATATACCGGTTATCGGCTTTCAAATATAAAGAATTATCCGTATCGGCCAATATACCGGTTATCGGCTTTCAAATATAAAGAATTATCGGTATCGGCCAAAATGTTCATATCGGTGCATCCCTAATATACATACACACACACACATATATACAGTATATATATATATATATATATATAGTTTTATCATAGCTCTTGTTTTTTGTTTTAACTTTGTAAATTAGTAATTTAATTTTGTAATTTTATTCATATTTTTTAAGTATTTAAGGTTTCATTTATAGTTTTTGTAACTAATATATTTGTTTGCAAATATATTTGTAATGTTTGCAACTAATATTTGATTTGATTTCAGTTTTATTTCAATTAACATATATGTTTTTAATAGTTATAATTAACCATAATAACCCTGGCACAATTCTAATGAGAATATTGTGACAATATTTATAAATATTCACAGTGTGACAAAACAAGGATAATTTTCTTTATGCAAAATAAAACTCTTGATTAGTCTCGTCAGATTCTTGATTTCAGCAGATCAAACACGGAGCAGAAACATTTCAGAAGACAGACCACTGCAATGAGGAAAACAGCGCTGCCAAATACTTCTGCATCCACTCAGTCTAAACGTTTCCAATGAAAACCCTTAGCTTGCATTCTCTGAATCTACTGAGAGAACAGCAATGTTTCAGCATCATGAAGATTAATTCATCAAACCTACTTTACGCTCCCAGAATAACATCACTCCGTTATATAAACTTGATAGCATTTCTGAATCAATCACCGTACTTTACATTGGCATGTTCACGTCCACAAATCAAGCCCAGTCTGTCAGGATTATGTTCAACTACGTCCGCTTCAGGACGCTGATGAAAGCGTCTTTCGGGACGTCGATGTTTCCAATGCGCCGCATTTTCTTCTTTCCTTCGGCCTGCTTCTTTAGCAGTTTCATTTTCCGTGTAATGTCGCCGCCGTACTAGACAAAGATCAAGAATCAGCAGCTAATCAAGCTAAACAACTTCAATATGAGAAGAGGTACTTACACATTTTGCTAGAACATTCTTCCGATATGCTTTGATCCTAAAAGAGGGAATCGTGGATAAGGAGTATTAGGTTTTAGCAGAGCCCGTCTACGGAGAAACCTTATTAAGTCCTATTGTACCGAATTTTGGTTGTAGTTCCACCAGAGTTCCACTGGGGGGGCGATCGTCCGAGTGCTAAATGAATGGGAGTCTATGGAGCGAAACGGCTAAATGTGTCTCTTTCACCTGATTGCCGTTGAGAAATCTCAGATTTCATTGAAGGTTTTGCGAGTTCAACATGGGTTATAGGTCGAGAGGTGAATGAACGAGTACTTTTGTCCTTTCGAATTCTTACAGATTGAGTTGTTGTTGCCCACAACACGCTAGCATTCTGCTAAAGAATGATGGTTGGTCAGTGAAGGATGGGATCGTGGCATCCGGACCAGAATATTAAGAACTTTAGTGCATGTGTGTTTACCTGTGTCGGCTGCAGAAAGTGTAGAGCGCGAAAGCACCAAATTGACTGAAGGATTGCCGTAAAGCAGTATCTCTGGTCGTATGACGTCATTGACATTTTAAAAGTATTTTTAAAGCAAATAAGTGATATGTTTATTTTGAATAAAAAAAATTATTCATTGTTATTAAAAAACATTATTTCCTTCAGATGCGCACTGTTTAATGTGATGTTTTTGAACTGGTGGAAATATGATTAGAGTTGCTTAAAAACATCAATTATAATGAGAACATTATCATGGTGAGACTTGTTTTTGTTATCAGGCTCTCAAAAATGATATAAAAATTTGGTTTTAGATTTATCAGCCAATATATCGATTATCGGCTTTCAAATATAAAGAATGATCGGTATCGGACAATATATCGGTTATCAGCTTTCAAATATAAAGAATTATCGGTATCTGCCAATATATCAGTTATCAGCTTTCAAATATAAAGAATTAGCGGTATCGGCCAATATATCGGTTATCGGCTTTCAAATATAAAGAATTATCGGTATCGGACAATATATCGGTTATCAGCTTTCAAATATAAAGAATTATCGGTATCTGCCAATATATCAGTTATCAGCTTTCAAATATAAAGAATTAGCGGTATCGGCCAATATATCGGTTATCGGCTTTCAAATATAAAGAATTATCGTATCGGCCAATATATCGGTTATCAGCTTTCAAATATAAAGAATTATCCGTATCAGCCAATATATCGGTTATCAGCTTTCAAATATAAAGAATTATCTGTATTAGCCAATATATCGGTTATCAGCTTTCATATATAAAGAATTATCTGTATTAGCCAATATATCGGTTATCAGCTTTCATATATAAAGAATTATCTGTATCAGCCAATATATCGGTTATCAGCTTTCATATATAAAGAATTATCTGTATTGGCCAATATATCGGTTATCAGCTTTCAAATATAAAGAATTATCGGAATTATCAAATAAGTGACTCTAAAAAATCTAACACCCAGCAATGTTTAATTTATTTGCATCTCCTTTCGAATACAACATTCAAATTACTAGACAACAAATGATATCCAGAGAAAAGTGGATTTTGAGGGGTATATCTCAATAGACCTCCATTCATTCTGCACTCGAGCGCCCTCATGTGGACCCAGAGTGGAACTGCAACCAAGTTTAATGTGAGTGGGAGTTCCCCCCATATTAGACATTCTCTGGTTTCATGTTATTTGGTGTTACGCACACAGTCCGACACTCACGTTTCTCGAGCGATGATCTTGCTGCCGATGGCCGCCTGCACTGCGATCTCAAACATCTGTCTCGGGATCGAGTCCTTCAGTCTCTCACATATGGCTTTTCCCGCACTGTACGCTTTCTCTCTGAACACAAGAGCGAATCAGAGCTGGTTTCATTGTTTTCTAGCGATCGCACCACAAACGGGGAAGATGTTAAGAATAAGTGCAGTAAACAGTAAAACGGTTTGTTCTACAAACCAGTGTGTTTATACATTAAAAATATGGCTGCAAGCAGCAATTAAGCGCCCATGCACAAAGACAACACGATAAGTCATGCTAGTATGGATGGGAGGCGTCAGACCAACTGAGCAATTAAAGACAAAATGCCTGAAAATCATAAATATAGATTTAATGGTTTATCACTTTTCACCAATAGGTGGCGCTGTGACCAAAATGATGTGGTGTGGTCAGACTAGGATGACAATGACACAAAGTTTGGTGTCAATATGCCGAAGCATTGCAGAGATACAGGCTCAGAGTTGTTTGGCATCACGCCTAAACTTTGCTGATGCGATATACAAAAACGGTAACGTTTCGCCAACGTAGTTTAGAAGTTCAGCCGACTATGGAAACATTGGTATCTATGTTCTCGGCATGACCCAAGGAATCTATTAAGACTATAAAGTAATTAGCATATTTGGAAGTTTAATCTTAATTTCTGACCACAATGTGGCGCTGCCCCAACACTTTTAGAGTACCTCCAGGGCATGGTGATGACATACTGAGTTTCATGAAGATATGCCAATGTGTTCGTAAAATATAACATTTTACAACAAAATTCAAAATGGCCGACGCCCAAAATGGTTGATATGGGAAATTGTGTATCGTTTGACTTGGCATGCTGCACCGAATCTTAAGAGACCAGTTCATACGCAATTTTTCATATCTCCTGAGCACTAAGTGACAATACGCCGAAACTGTGCAGGTAACCTCAGGT